GGGCGTACAACAGGCTGTAGGGGCTTACAACAGGCTGTAGGGCCCTACAACAGGCTGTAGGGGCCTACAACAGGCTGTAGGGGCCTACAACAGGCTGTAGGGGTCTACAACAGGCTGTAGGGGTCTACAACAGGCTGTAGAGGCCTACAACAGGCTGTAGGGGCTTACAACAGGCTGTAGGGCCCTACAATAGGCTGTAGGGGCCTACAACAGGCTGTAGGGGCTTACAACAGGCTGTAGGGCCCTACAACAGGCTGTAGGGGCTTACAACAGGCTGTATGGGCCTACAACAGGCTGTAGGGGTCTACAACAGGCTGTAGAGGCCTACAACAGGCTGTAGGGGCCTACAACAGGCTGTAGGGGTCTACAACAGGCTGTAGGGGTCTACAACAGGCTGTAGAGGCCTACAACAGGCTGCAGAGGCCTACAACACGCTGTAGGGATCTACAACAGGCTGTAGAGGCCTACAACAGGCTGTAGGGACTTACAACAGGCGGTAGGGCCCTACAACAGGCTGTAGGGGCTTACAACAAGCTGTATGGGTATACAACAGGCTATAGAGGCCTACAACAGGCTGTAGGGGCCTACAACAGGCTGTAGGGGTCTACAACAGGCTGTAGGGGTCTACAACAGGCTGTAGAGGCCTACAACAGGCTGTAGGGGCCTACAACAGGCTGTAGGGGCCTACAACAGGCTGTAGGGGCCTACAACAGGCTGTAGGGGCCTACAACAGGCTGTAGGGGCCTACAACAGGCTGTAGGGGTCTACAACAGGCTGTAGAGGCCTACAACAGGCTGTAGGGGCCTACAACAGGCTGTAGGGGCCTACAACAGGCTGTAGGGGTCTACAACAGGCTGTAGGGGTCTACAACAGGCTGTAGAGGCCTACAACAGGCTGTAGGGGCTTACAACAGGCTGTAGGGCCCTACAACAGGCTGTAGGGGCCTACAACAGGCTGTAGGGGCTTACAACAGGCTGTAGGGCCCTACAACAGGCTGTAGGGGCTTACAACAGGCTGTATGGGTCTACAACAGGCTGTAGAGGCCTACAACAGGCTGTAGGGGCCTACAACAGGCTGTAGGGGTCTACAACAGGCTGTAGGGGTCTACAACAGGCTGTAGGGGTCTACAACAGGCTGTAGAGGCCTACAACAGGCTGTAGGGGCCTACAACAGGCTGTAGGGGCCTACAACAGGCTGTAGGGGCCTACAACAGGCTGTAGGGGCCTACAACAGGCTGTACGGGTCTACAACAGGCTGTAGGGGCCTACAACAGGCTGTATGGGCCTACAACAGGCTGTAGGGGCCTACAACAGGCTGTAGAGGTCTACAACAGGCTGTAGACCCCTACAACAGGCTGTAGAGGCCTACAACAGGCTGTAGGGGCCTACAACAGGCTGTAGGGGCCTACAACAGGCTGTAGGGGTCTACAACAGGCTGTAGAGGCCTACAACAGGCTGTAGGGGCCTACAACAGGCTGTAGGGGTCTACTACAGGCTGTAGGGGTCTACAACAGGCTGTAGAGGCCTACAACAGGCTGTAGGGATCTACAACAGGCTGTAGAGGCCTACAACAGGCTGTAGGGGCTTACAACAGGCTGTAGGGCCCTACAACAGGCTGTAGGGGCTTACAACAGGCTGTATGGGTCTACAACAGGCTGTAGAGGCCTACAACAGGCTGTAGGGGCCTACAACAGGCTGTAGGGGTCTACAACAGGCTGTAGGGGTCTACAACAGGCTGTAGAGGCCTACAACAGGCTGTAGGGGCCTACAACAGGCTGTAGGGGCCTACAACAGGCTGTAGGGGCCTACAACAGGCTGTAGGGGCCTACAACAGGCTGTAGGGGCCTACAACAGGCTGTAGGGGTCTACAACAGGCTGTAGAGGCCTACAACAGGCTGTAGGGGCCTACAACAGGCTGTAGGGGCCTACAACAGGCTGTAGGGGTCTACAACAGGCTGTAGGGGTCTACAACAGGCTGTAGAGGCCTACAACAGGCTGTAGGGGCTTACAACAGGCTGTAGGGCACTACAACAGGCTGTAGGGGCCTACAACAGGCTGTAGGGGCTTACAACAGGCTGTAGGGCCCTACAACAGGCTGTAGGGGCTTACAACAGGCTGTATGGGTCTACAACAGGCTGTAGACCCCTACAACAGGCTGTAGAGGCCTACAACAGGCTGTAGGGGCCTACAACAGGCTGTAGGGGCCTACAACAGGCTGTAGGGGTCTACAACAGGCTGTAGAGGCCTACAACAGGCTGTAGGGGCCTACAACAGGCTGTAGGGGTCTACAACAGGCTGTAGGGGTCTACAACAGGCTGTAGAGGCCTACAACAGGCTGTAGGGATCTACAACAGGCTGTAGAGGCCTACAACAGGCTGTAGGGGCTTACAACAGGCTGTAGGGCCCTACAACAGGCTGTAGGGGCTTACAACAGGCTGTATGGGTCTACAACAGGCTGTAGAGGCCTACAACAGGCTGTAGGGGCCTACAACAGGCTGTAGGGGTCTACAACAGGCTGTAGGGGTCTACAACAGGCTGTAGAGGCCTACAACAGGCTGTAGGGGCCTACAACAGGCTGTAGGGGCCTACAACAGGCTGTAGGGGCCTACAACAGGCTGTAGGGGCCTACAACAGGCTGTAGGGGTCTACAACAGGCTGTAGGGGTCTACAACAGGCTGTAGAGGCCTACAACAGGCTGTAGGGGCCTACAACAGGCTGTAGGGGTCTACAACAGGCTGTAGGGGTCTACAACAGGCTGTAGAGGCCTACAACAGGCTGTAGGGATCTACAACAGGCTGTAGAGGCCTACAACAGGCTGTAGGGGCTTACAACAGGCTGTAGGGCCCTACAACAGGCTGTAGGGGCTTACAACAGGCTGTATGGGTCTACAACAGGCTGTAGAGGCCTACAACAGGCTGTAGGGGCCTACAACAGGCTGTAGGGGTCTACAACAGGCTGTAGGGGTTTACAACAGGCTGTAGAGGCCTACAACAGGCTGTAGGGGCCTACAACAGGCTGTAGGGGCCTACAACAGGCTGTAGGGGCCTACAACAGGCTGTAGGGGCCTACAACAGGCTGTAGGGGCCTACAACAGGCTGTAGGGGTCTACAACAGGCTGTAGAGGCCTACAACAGGCTGTAGGGGCCTACAACAGGCTGTAGGGGCCTACAACAGGCTGTAGGGGTCTACAACAGGCTGTAGGGGTCTACAACAGGCTGTAGAGGCCTACAACAGGCTGTAGGGGCATACAACAGGCTGTAGGGCCCTACAACAGGCTGTAGGGGCCTACAACAGGCTGTAGGGGCTTACAACAGGCTGTAGGGCCCTACAACAGGCTGTAGGGGCTTACAACAGGCTGTATGGGTCTACAACAGGCTGTAGAGGCCTACAACAGGCTGTAGGGGCCTACAACAGGCTGTAGGGGTCTACAACAGGCTGTAGGGGTCTACAACAGGCTGTAGAGACCTACAACAGGCTGTAGGGGCCTACAACAGGCTGTAGGGGTCTACAACAGGCTGTAGGGGCCTACAACAGGCTGTATGGGCCTACAACAGGCTGTAGAGGCCTACAACAGGCTGTAGGGGTCTACAACAGGCTGTAGGGGCCTACAACAGGCTGTAGAGGTCTACAACAGGCTGTAGACCCTACAACAGGCTGTAGAGGCCTACAACAGGCTGTAGGGGCCTACAACAGGCTGTAGGGGCCTACAACAGGCTGTAGGGGTCTACAACAGGCTGTAGAGGCCTACAACAGGCTGTAGGGGTCTACAACAGGCTGTAGAGGCCTACAACAGGCTGTATAGGCCTACAACAGGCTGTAGGGGTCTACAACAGGCTGTAGAGGCCTACAACAGGCTGTAGGGGCCTACAACAGGCTGTAGGGGCCTACAACAGGCTGTAGGGGCCTACAACAGGCTGTAGGGGTCTACAACAGGCTGTAGCGGCCTACAACAGGCTGTAGGGGTCTACAACAGGCTGTAGAGGCCTACAACAGGCTGTAGAGGCCTACAACAGGCTGTAGGGGTCTACAACAGGCTGTAGAGGCCTACAACAGGCTGTAGGGGCCTACAACAGGCTGTAGGGGCCTACAACAGGCTGTAGGGGTCTACAACAGGCTGTAGGGGTCTACAACAGGCTGTAGAGGCCTACAACAGGCTGTAGGGGCTTACAACAGGCTGTAGGGCCCTACAACAGGCTGTAGGGGCCTACAACAGGCTGTAGGGGCTTACAACAGGCTGTAGGGCCCTACAACAGGCTGTAGGGGCTTACAACAGGCTGTATGGGTCTACAACAGGCTGTAGAGGCCTACAACAGGCTGTAGGGGCCTACAACAGGCTGTAGGGGTCTACAACAGGCTGTAGGGGTCTACAACAGGCTGTAGAGACCTACAACAGGCTGTAGGGGCCTACAACAGGCTGTAGGGGTCTACAACAGGCTGTAGGGGCCTACAACAGGCTGTATGGGCCTACAACAGGCTGTAGAGGCCTACAACAGGCTGTAGGGGTCTACAACAGGCTGTAGGGGCCTACAACAGGCTGTAGAGGTCTACAACAGGCTGTAGACCCTACAACAGGCTGTAGAGGCCTACAACAGGCTGTAGGGGCCTACAACAGGCTGTAGGGGCCTACAACAGGCTGTAGGGGTCTACAACAGGCTGTAGAGGCCTACAACAGGCTGTAGGGGTCTACAACAGGCTGTAGGGATCTACAACAGGCTGTAGGGGCCTACAACAGGCTGTAGGGATCTACAACAGGCTGTAGGGGTCTACATCAGGCTGTAGATTGTGTGAGCTCACGAGCGAGCGAGTTCAAGTCGATTCTGTGTGACCAGGTGAAGCGCTCAAAAAGAGACCGGGTTGGGAGAGAGAGCGAATGGGGGGGGGGGGGGGGGGGGGGGGGGGGGGGTGAGATCTCTCTCGCCGCTCACCACCGCTCCCTCTCGCCGCTCACCACCGCTCACCACCGCTCCCTCTCGCCGCTCCTCACCGCCGCTCGCCGCTCACCTTGCCGAAGGAGCCAGCTCCCAGCACCTTGAGGAGCTCGAAGTGCGAGGCGTCCGCTCGCTCGGCCCCGGCGCGCGTGTGGCTCGTGATGTGGATCTCCTTCTCCTCGTCCTCCTCCCCCGCCTCCTGCTCCTTGCACAACCGCGGTGCATTGTGGGGGGCGGGGGGCGAGGGTGAAGGAGAGGGAGGAGGAAGTGGAAATGGAGAGGAGGGGTCACAGATGAACACGTGGGAGTGGTTGTGGTGGCAGGCCTTGTGGAGGAGCTGGCGCTGAACCCACGATTGCACAAGCTGTGTGATCCTCTGTATATAGATCTGACTCTGTGGGCCTCTGTGGGCCTGTGGGCCTCTGTGGGCCTCTGTGGGCCTCTGTGGGCCTCTGTGGGCCTCTGTGAGTCTCTGTGGGACTCTGTGAGCCTCTGTGGGTCTCTGTGAGTCTATGTGGGTGTCTGTGGGTCTCTGTGGGCCTCTGTGGGTCTCTGTGAGTCTATGTGGATCTCTGTGAGTCTCTGTGGGCCTCTGTGGGCCTCTGTGGGTCTCTGTGGGTCTCTGTGAGTCTATGTGGATCTCTGTAAGTCTCTGTGGGCCTCTGTGAGTCTCTGTGGGTCTCTGTGGGTCTCTATGAGCCTCTGTGGGCCTCTGTGGGCCTCTGTGGGTCTCTGTGGGCCTCTGTGGGCCTCTGTGGGTCTCTGTGGGTCTGTGGGCCTCTGTGGGTCTATGTGGGTCTCTGTGGGCCTCTGTGAGTCTATGTGGATCTCTGTGAGTCTATATGGATCTCTGTGAGCCTCTGTGGGCCTCTGTGAGCCTCTGTGGCCCTCTGTGGGCCTCTGTGAGTCTCTGTGGGGCTGTGGGTCTCTGTGAGTCTCTGTGGGTCTCTGCAGGTTTCTGCGGGTCTGTTGGTCTCTGTGGGTCTCTGTGGGCCTCTGTGGGCCTCTGTGGGTCTTTGTGGGTCTCTGTGGGCCTCTGTGGGCCTCTGTGAGTCTACGTGGGTCTCTGTGGGCCTCTGTGGGCCTCTGTGGGTCTCTGTGGGCCTCTTTGGGCCTCTTTGGGCCTCTGTGAGTCTCTGTGGGCCTCTGTGGGTCTCTGTGGGCCTCCTTGGGCCTCTGTGGGCCTCTGTGGACCTCTGAGTCTCTGTGCACTTGCCCCTACAGCCTGCTAGAAAATACACAGACAGCACTTGCCCCTACAGCCTGGTAGAGGCTACACAGCACTTGCCCCTACAGCCCTGCTAAAGGCTACACAGACAGCACTTGCCCCCACAGCCTGCTAGAGGCTACACAGACAGCACTTGCCCCAACAGCCCTGTTAGAGGCTACACAGACAGCACTTGCCCCTACAGCCCTGCCAGAGGCTACACAGACAGCACTTGCCCCTACAGCCCTACTAGAGGCTACACAGACAGCACTTGCCCCCACAGCCCTACTAGAGGCTACACAGACAGAACTTGCCTATACAGCCTGCTAGAGGCTACACAGACAGCACTTGCCCCTACAGCCCTGTTAGCGGCTACACACACAGCACTTGCCCCTACAGCCTGCTAGAGGCTACACACACAGCACTTGCCCCTACAGCCTGCTAGAGGCTACACAGACAGCACTTGCCCCTACAGCCTGCTAGAGGCTACACAGACAGCACTTGCCCCTACAGCCTGCCAAAGGCTACACGGGGGACGTTTTGCTGCTGCTGACTCTTCCCCTTCGTGTTCTCATTTCTGTTTCCGACCTTGTGGGTTGGAGGAAGGACAGAACACACAAAGACAAAGATCCCCCGTGTAGCCTCTAGCAGGGCTGTTGGGGCAAGTGCTGTTAGTAGCGAGTAGCAGCAGCTACCTATGAACACACAAAGACAAAGATCCCCCGTGTAGCCTCTAACAGACTGTAGGGGCAAGTGCTGTTAGCAGTGAGTAGCAGCAGCTACCTATGAACACACAAAGACAAAGATCCCCCGTGTAGCCTCTAGCAGGCTGTAGGGGCAAGTGCTGTTAGTAGCGAGTAGCAGCAGCTACCTATGAACACACAAAGACAAAGATCCCCCGTGTAGCCTCTAGCAGACTGTAGGGGCAAGTGCTGTTAGTAGCGAGTAGCAGCAGCTACCTATGAACACACAAAGACAAAGATCCCCCGTGTAGCCTCAAACAGACTGTAGGGGCAAGTGCTGTTAGTAGTGAGTAGCAGCAGCTACCTATGAACACACAAAGACAAAGATCCCCCGTGTAGCCTCTAGCAGACTGTAGGGGCAAGTGCTGTTAGTAGCGAGTAGCAGCAGCTACCTATGAACACACAAAGACAAAGATCCCCCGTGTAGCCTCTAGCAGACTGTAGGGGCAAGTGCTGTTAGTAGCGAGTAGCAGCAGCTACCTATGAACACACAAAGACAAAGACCCCCCGTGTAGCCTCTAGCAGACTGTAGGGGCAAGTGCTGTTAGCGAGCACCTATGAAGGCCGGAACGGCACACGAGGGGGTGGGTGGCCAGCACCACGCCCGACAGCCTTTGTCTCCCCAGTGGCAATGTTTTTATCCACCGCACCAGGTACTCGTTTGAGGCTGAGTCGACCTAGGGGAGGCCCGAGACCGGATCAGACAATCGTCACTGGTGTTGGCCGTGAGCGGGAATCGAACCCGGGTCGCCAGGTTCATAGCGCAGCGCGCTAACCGCTACACTATCGCTCCCCACACACACACACACGTACACACACGTACACACTCTCACACATGCACACACATGTACACACACACACTCTCACACGTACAGACACACACACACACTCTCACACAAAGGCAAGGATCCCCTATATAGCCTTCAGAGACAGTTAGGGCAAGTGCTGTTAGCGAGGGGGTGGGTGGCCAGCCACACGTGAATACACTCACTCATGCACACAAAGACAAAGATCCCCTGTGTAGCCTGTAACAGACTGTAGGGGCAAGTGCTGTTAGCGAGCACCTATAAAGGCCGGCACGGCAGACGAGGGGGTGGGTGGCCAACACCACGCACGACCGCCTTTGTCTCCCCAGTGGTGATGTTTACTACACCGGATACTCATTTGAGGCTGAGTCGACCTAGGGGAGGCCCAGGACCGGTTCAGATAATCGCCAATGGAGTTGGCCGTGAGTGGGAATCGAACTCGGTTCGCCGGGTTTGTAGCTCAGCGCGCTAACCACTACACTACCGCACCCCACAGACACACACACACACAGACGCACACACACACGTACACCCACCGCTCCCCACATATACACACTCACATACACACACACACAGATACACACAGACAGACACAACAACAACAACCGCCATTCGCCACTAAGTGGCGGTGACATCACCACGACGCTTGTGCCAGGCTATGTGCACCTTGAGGCCACGTGGAGTATCGAACGCCCGCTGGCAGGAGGTCACGGGGCAGACCCATGTGCCACGGGTCGACTGACTGAGATGACTGGCTGATGCACCACCTGTGCCCCCTACTGTGCCAACTTGCTGTGCTTTAGCCACCCGGCGCTCCGCTCGTTGTTGTGAGCGTCGCTCCTCCGCCCTCCGTTGTTGTTGGAGGGCGACTGCCTCCAACTGCCCAGTAGCGTCCTTCACGAGCCTCCTCCACAGAGGCCGATCTTGACACCGCTGGTACCAGTCTCAGCTCCACGTCCTCCTGTACCACATCACTCCATCTCTTCTCTAGCCCGTGCCGCGCCCGTTTGGCCCCCTCGATCCGGCGGCTGGGCATGCGGGCTACATGACCCAGCCAACGCAACCTTGCCTGCCGGAGGAGCACACCGATGGGACTTTGCCCAGATCTTTCAAGGATTTGTGAGCTCCTTACACAATCCAGTCTGGTTAAACCCAGGATGGATCGTAGGCAGGCCAACCTAAATGTTTCTAACCGGCGAAGAACCTCCATTAGGGGGGTCCACGTTTCGCAAGCGTAGAGAAGGGAGGGAATGACCGTGGCCGAGAAGCCCCGAAGCTTCGTGCGGAGCGACAGACCAGGTAGCTTCCACTCAGCATTACACAACCGATTAAAGATATTGCCGCTCGACTGATTCGGACTGAGACCTCTGCTGTTAAACCGGAGCCGGTCATGCGCACACTGCCCAGATATGGAAAATTCTCCACTCTCTCCACAACAGCCCCATCACCGATTTGGAGTTGTGGGGGTGGAGTGTCCAATGGTACAAAATACCCAGGCAGGTGCTAAGTTTTGGTGGAGCTGATGGTAAGGCCCCACCTCTTAGTGGAACGCTCCAGTCTCAGCAGCAGCGTCGCCAACTCCTCCTCTGAATGAGCAGCAATTACCAAATCATCGGCATACATAACGTGTTTGACCAATAGGGAGCCATCCCTTGACCGCACCCGGGCATCCATCAGCCTCCCATTATATATGTACCAAATGGAGATTCCCCCGGTACAGCTATTGAAGGCTTCACGAACTACGTGGTCAAAATAGATGTTAAATAATGTGGGAGCCAGAGGACATCCCTGTCGCACCCCAAGGTGTACAGGGAATGGCTCTGACTCCCGGCCACGTAGTTTTACCCGGGCCCGCTCACCATCATGAAGGTCCTTAATGATCGTGAGCAGAGGGTCAGGGACTCCGAAAGCACGAAGAACAACCCAGAGCCCAGGCCTACTGATGGTATCATAGGCCTTGACCAGGTCAATAAATCAGATATGTAGGTCTTGTTGGAATTCCCTACACCTCTGCTGTAACAAACCGCATTGGGGCTCCGCAAGCCTCTTCTTAGCGTGCCTGGCAAGGCCATGTTGAATAATCCTTGCCAGTATACACACACACTGACACACACGCACCCACTGACACACACACAAAAGTACACACACACACACACACCGATACACACACCAGTACACACAGACACACACACCGATACACACACCAGTACACATACACACACCAGTACACATACACACACCAGTACACATACACACACCAGTACACATACACACACCAGTACACATACACACACCAGTACACATACACACACCAGTACACATACACACACCAGTACACATACACACACACACTGACACACACACCATTACACACACACACCATTACACACACACTGACACACACACCAGAACACATACACACACACACTGACACACACACCAGTACACA